GCACTATGCTGTAAACAGAAACCTTCATTCCGTGCAGGTGTGTGTTGGGCCCGATATAGCTGAACTACAGTGCCGTTGCCTTTTTTCCCTAGTCTGTTTATCTGTGTTCTGTTGGTCGTCATGTCTTGCTGGCAGAATGCTTGCCTTTAGTAACTTTGCCTTGCATTTCTAATTTGGGGAACCAGATACCAAATTCATTATAATTCTATTGAGAGAGGATGAGTAGGTTTTTACAGGCATGGTTTTTGAGTTCTGTAATGGCTGTGCAGAACATGGGGCTCGTGTCTGGTCAGTGGAATTTTGCATAGTTGGGCTTGCCAGATAAATGGCCTTCAGATGAGGTTGTGTTTTGGTAGCGGTTAACCACTGTGCTGTAGAAAAAGTGCGAAGTACTGCTTGAGAAACTATAGAAAAATACTTACTTCTAAAATGCTTTGTTTTACAGCTAAAAGTTATGAAGTTTCAGGATGAGTTGGAATCTGGGAAAAGACCTAAAAAACCAGGCCAGAGTTTTCAGGAACAAGTAGAACACTACAGAGATAAACTTCTTCAACGAGTAAGGAATAAGTATTCTTAATAATGTGTTCCTAAGTTATTTATTTGACTTCCTAGAATATTGGTATGCTTAAAGTCTTTTCACAATTATATCTTTTGATACGTAAATGTTCAAATAATTAGAAATAATTGAAATCTGATATTTTAAAACCATTTTAGTTTGAAAAAGGAATCTTAAGGCAACAGCACACTTACTTTATTCTGTGTACTATTTGTGGACTAGAAGATTAATCCCGCTAAGAGCATGATTGTGAAACTGGAAGACCTTTCAGGAAGTCACATTTCTGACAATGAGACACCAGCAACCCTGAGAGGTGGTACAAAGATGGATGCAGAATTTAGGAAGTTCTGGTGTTGAGAAGTTCATTTAGGACTCAATTCCCATTGTTTCAAGGAGGACAGCAAGTGGTAGAATACCACACTGGTGGATTCTAAGCATTTGAAGGACTTCATATTCTTGTGGATAACAAAATACAGTAGAGCCTCCATTGCTGACCACCTCCTTAAGTTGACCTAAATTTCCTAGTTTGTGGACATGCACCACATGTATGTTTCAGTACATTAGGTCTAGTTCCTTATACCTTGAGATGTTCACCGGTCCTGATGGTAGCAAGCTCAAAATGAAGAACACATTGCCACTTTAGTCTCTTTGTTTTTTATGATTATATTTTCCTGAAGATGCCAGGGTTCAGCAAAATACCGTCTTTGCCAGATTTTGTAGCTTTATTATTCACTTACGCATTGTTTATGGTGGCTTTCATGTTGCAGTGGCAGAGTTGGGTAGTTTGTGACAGTGGCCCACAAAGCAGAAAATATTTGCTACCTGGCTACATACTAAAAACATTTGCCAATATCTGGTATAGGTTTTTTTTTTACCTTTTAAAAAACATAAGAGTCAGCTGTCAGATACTTTCCTTAATGAATATAAATCAGAGAAATTCCTGTTAGTGAAGAACTGAGTTTGTCTTGTGGGTTTGTTATCTGTAGCTATTCTTTTAATTATGCTGTTACCAACAAGAAATCAAAATTTAAAGTGAGAAGTGGCAGTTGTAACATCTGAAGATAAGGAAATGTTACTTCTCTGATTTACATAGTTGTATAGTCATGTAGTCAGTTTGTATTTTTTATCAACCAGAACTTTAAATTTCTAATATTCTAGGCTGGGCATAGTGGCTCACACCTGTAATCCTAGCACTCTGGGAGGCCACGACAGGTCGATTGCTTGAGCTCAGGATTTTGAGACCCTCTTTGTAAGAGCAAGACCTTGTCTTTACTAAAAATAGAAAAACTAGGTGGGTATTGTGGCAGGTGCCTGTAGTTCCAGCTACTTGGGAGGCTGAGGCAAGAAGATTGCCTCTTGAACCTAGGAGTTTGAGGTTGCTATGAGCTATGGTGAAGCCACAGCACTACTCTGGGGCAACAGAGTGAGACTTGGTCTCAAGGAAAAAAAAAAAAATTCTAATACAGTTGGCACTTGTTCCTCATCAATAAAGTTTTGATGGAAGATTATTATAAGTAGTTATTTTCTCGTTCTAGCTCTTTCCTTTGGTAAGAGCTCTTTTGAGTAAATAAACTTGCCATTGGTTTGGCGCCAGTAACTCAGTGGTTAGGGTGCTGGCCACATGCACCCGGGAATTGGCCTGATCCTGCTAAACAAACAACAGCAAGAAAATAGCGGGGCGTTGGGTCAGGTGCCTGTAGTCCTAGCTACTTGGGAGGCTGAGACAAGAGAATCGCTTAAGGTTGCTCTGAGCTGTGACACCACAGCACTCAACCCTGGGGCAACTGAGTAAGACTCCGTCTCCAAAAAAAACTCATTTGCCATGAAGTTAGAAGGATCACTTTTTACTGATTATTTCATTATTATCTGTGATGGAAAGGCCAGTGCATTGTTAGCTTTTTCTAATTTGGGAGGGGAAGGGCTCAGACTCTATAGAAAGGTGTTTTTTAATCTTTTTTATCTCACAGCACACTTGAACCTATATTTAAACTTCCACTTAAATTATGGTTTTTCTTTTTATAAGTGTTTATTTTTTTTTCCTTTTATTAAGTCATATACACATAGATCATGAATACATTTATGCATATGTGGGGTACAGTGTGTTGATATTTTATACAATTTGGAGTGCTTACATCAAACTAATTAATATAGCTTTCACCTCATTTACTTGATCATTGTGTTAAGACATTTATGTTCTATACTTGGTAGATTTGACTTGTACCTTTGCAATATGCTCCATAGGTGTGGTCCCACCATTTACCCTCCCTCTGTCAAAACTACCCCCTAAATTATGTTGATCAAAAAAAAAGTAAAGAAAGAATATATTTACTGTGCTTTGAACTTCTTTCGAAAATAATTTAATTAATGATCTTTAAAAAATTTCAGGGCACACTTAGGTTCCTGTCATGGCATACCAGTTAAAAATCGGTGCTTTAGAGCTTGGGCTCAGATCCTGACTTTACTGTCCTCTGTGAACATGAACATGATTCTTAAGCTGAGTCTTAATTTTCATCTCTGGAATGAGAATAGTAGTAGTATTCTTAGGGGTGTTTTAAAAGATTACATGAAATTGTCCATGGAAAGTTGTTTAATACATTGCTTGGCCTATAGTAAGCACTGAGTAAATTATTATTCAGTATAAGAAGAGGAAATGAATAGTTTCTCTCAAAGGTAGGGCTTTATCTTTGTTTATGTTTTTAAAATGGTATTATGCTGAAATGGTGATTTAAAAAATTATTTCTCAGAAGAGAAATACTTTGTTACATAAGTGTGATTAAACCAAATTGGTATTTTTAAACGACAAATTGTTTTTAAAAAAAAAATAATAGGAGAAAGAGAAAGAATTAGAACGGGAACGAGAAAGAGACAAGAAGGATAAAGAAAAATTGGAATCTCGATCCAAAGATAAGAAGGAAAAAGATGAATGTACTCCAACGAGGAAAGAAAGGTATAACATTTCTCCTATTCAATGCATTGCTGATTTGAAGATTTGGAATGGTACTTCATTTTATGTTTTTATCACTGATGCTAACTGCAAGTGTTTTTTCCTGATAATCTTATTGGGCTCCTACCTGCAGGAGGCGGAATTAGCTGAGAAATGGGGCGCTTAGTTGGCACTTGGCTTAGTTAACTGGAGTATCATCCTTTTACATGGTTCATATGGTATCCTTAGCCTCAGTTCAGTATAAGAATTCAATTACAGTATTAGGTATCAGCCTGAGGGTTAAATAACAAAGCAGCCTGTTAACATCTTCCTTCTTGCCTCCAATATAAGTATTTTTTTTCCAGTCCCTATGCTGCGGGTGCTGCCTGTAAACTTGAGTTTCAGTCTTTTACCTTGAAAGGAGATTATATACATAGGCCATAGGAGCTTGCCTCTCACTTTAAGTCTTCATTCTAATCAAAACATATTTCTTTTGGTTTTTATTTTTTTCACAATTTCTGAAATCTCTGATTTCTTTAGTAAAGAAAATTGTGTCAGTTAACAGCACTAAGGATTTCCTAATATAAAAACCAGTGATTGCAAATAAAAAAATTCTGGCTTAGTCACTGTATAGTAGTTACAAATAACAAAGTTATACCAGTTGGTTAAATAAAAGGTCTGTCATTTGTCTTTTATTACTGTTTTGATATAATTTCAGGTTTATAGAAAAGTTACAAGAGTAGTATAAAGGCTTCCTATATAGCCATCATCCGCCTTACTCAAATGTTAAAATACAGTAGTTCTGCTTTTGCCTTATATTCTCTTCTGTCCCACCTCTATCTATTGAAGAATAATTTGTCAACACAATGCCTCATTCTCTTGTCCACATTCTTTTAACCATAATAAAAGTATCAGTTCAGGAAATTAATATTTTTTAAAAAGTATTTTAATCCAGAGACATTAATTAAATTTTGCTAATTATTCAAATAATATCTTTTATAACCAAAGAAAAATCTAGGTTAGTCATATTCATTTGTCACTTGATCACCTTATCTTTGACTTGTTTATTCTTGGTATAAAGGCCTTTGAATATTGTTAGAGAATAACACTTAAATGACTAGTGAGAATATGTTAAACTGGTAGGAATCATTAGCTAACTTAGTAAAAGAAAATGAATATCTGATCTTTTGCTCACTTATGCCATGTTTTGGGGGGCTTTTTCCATAGGAAAAGGAGACACAGTACATCCCCCAGCCCATCTCGCAGTAGCAGTGGTAGACGAGTGAAATCCCCATCACCAAAATCGGAGCGATCAGAGCGTTCAGAAAGATCTCATAAAGAGAGCTCACGGTCGAGGTCATCTCACAAAGATTCTCCTAGAGACGTTAGCAAAAAAGCCAAAAGGTAAATGCAAGTCATTTTTTGTAATATTTCAAATACCAGTTTCCTTGTCATTTCACCAGCTTTTGAAAATAATTTGGTTGGCTTACTTTTTTAAAAGGAGTTTAGAAAACCAAGGAGAACACTTTGATTTTAGGATTTTCTTTCCTACCTCCCTATCCCAGTTCCTTCTATGACTAAAGTTCAAGAAGGCTTCTAGCAAAGACCAGCCAAGAATTTTAAACATCATATACAATATTTCCTGTGCAATAGGATTAGCTGTTTTTCTTTTCATTCTGTTCTTTAGTGTCAATAGAGTATTTTTTTATTTTTGCCAAAGCTTAAAGAAAAACATGTTTTTCCTCCTTATAGCAAAATTATTAGCAAGTTCTTGGGTAGAAATTTGTGTAAATACACTCCATAAATACCAGTTCTTCAGTATATAACTTAGTATATTATATACTTTTTTCCTTTTTATTACAGAAAAGTGGTTCCAGAATTGTTTTATATATCTGGTGTTATGTAGAGGAATTTTCTTTAAACTGTTTTATATGCCAATATTTTATTAATGTAACAATTTTTAGTAAAAGATTTATAAAATAGATAACTCTTCTTTTATAACTGGCACTTGCATATGTATATGTGTATAGATATGTACATGCTGTGGTCCCCAACCCCCAGGCCACGGACCATATAGGTCTATGGCCAGTTAGGAGCTGGACTGCACAATAGGAGCTGAGCAGTGGATGAGGGAGCAAAGCTTTATCTGTATTTACAGCTGCTCCCTGTTGCTGCCTGAGTTCTGCCTCCTGTCAGATCAGCAGTGACTGCATTAGATTCTCATGAGTGTGAAACTTACTGAAAACTGCACATGTGAGAGATGTAGGTTGCACACTCCTTACGAGAATCTAAATGCTTGATGGTCTGGGGTAGAGCTCAGATGTGGCGATGCTAGCTCTAGGGACTGGCTTCTGGGACAGCGGGAAAACAAGCATGGGCTTCCCACTGATTCTGCATTATGGTGAGTTATATAATTATTACGTATTATAATGTAATGATAATAGAAATAAAGTGCACAAGAAATGTAATGTGCTTGAATCATTCTGAATATGCCCCCCCAACTCCATGGAAAAAAATGTCTTTCATGAAATTGGTCCCTGGTGCCAAAAAGGTTGGGAACTGCTGTGCATGTATTGTTTTGGTACAAATCTAAATGAACCACACTTAGAAAATGTCTTAAATGATGCCCTTGTATAATATTGCAGTAGTTGATGCTTTTTCCTCAAGATGATAGAATGCAAAGCTGCTTTGTTTTTTTAATTTTGTGAATGATCTTAGATGGAATTTTGAACTTTATTTTGTAGAGTAGGGGTTCAAATTTGGGGGTATCAGTCACCTGGGAGCTTGTTAAAAATGCAAATAGTCCCTGCCACTATAGAGTGTTTGAATCAGTAGAGCAGTGGTAAGGCTCAGAAATCTGTCATTGTAAACAAGTGCTATACTGATGATCATCGATGCAGTGTGTAGCAGTCACAAAATACAGTTTTGTGTGTTTATGTGTATGACAGAATAAGTTTGAAAAATTCAGTTTTGTTTATTTCAGTGATTTTCATTGTACTCTGTTAAAGATCATTTTAGATAATTTAAAGATAATCAGTTTTGATTACTTGAATATTTTGATAAATTGGGGGATATTTTTTTTTTGTTTTGTTTCCTCAGATCTCCATCTGGTTCAAGGACACCTAAAAGATCTAGGAGGTCACGGTCTAGATCCCCTAAAAAATCAGGGAAGAAATCCAGATCTCAGTCCCGATCTCCACACAGGTCTCATAAAAAGTCAAAGAAAAACAAACACTGACATAAATTTTTAAGATTCCGTCACTTATTGGAAATGCGATTTTGTTTTGTGCCTGAACGGTCTGTTTTTTAAAAAAACAAAACAAAAATCAAATGAAAGGCATTCCTGGGGTTTTTTGTTTGTTTGTGAATGCATGTGTAAACTCCTGAGTAACTGCATCTGTAGATCTGTCATTGTTTTATATTGTGTAAATTACTTTCGTTGTGGTTGTTACTCAAGATGAAATTTTTATTGTGCTAATGAATTTCATCAGAAGTGTGTATAATGGATCTGCTGGCAGTAGTAGTATTTTGTTTTAGGATGTTGTGACTTAGCAAAAATAATACAGATGTCTTCCCCCCCTTTTGTAGCTTTGACAATTTGAATTAGATTTCAAATAAAATATGAACAGAAAACTATAATGTTGTTTTTTTGCCCCATTGATAATACCAAGTCCCTTATAGTCCTACTAATAAGTGAGTTTGGCACTACTGTTGTGTTTCCTTGTACCCTACGCACTTTATAAGCTCTGATGTTCAAGTAGCTACAAGTTTTATAATAACTAGTTATCCATATTAAGGCACCTGAGACTCCTATTTGGTAGGTTTACTAACCAATTTCTACAGTAAAATTCTCTTGGATAATACTCATAGCCAGAGATCAAAAGACTAGGTGGATATGGCATGGTATTCGTGAATGGAATGCCTGGCTGAAACATTTTTTCTTTTTTGAAAGAAGTGATGTGATTTTAATATGTCCAACCCATTGTTCTGAGCAACTAATTTTTAGGAGAAAATTAAATCTCCATCTTTTGTGTTCATCTTTTATCATGAAAGAAGTTTTATTTATGAAAGATATTTTCTAACAATGGTTGGCCATAGAATTCCTTTGTATCATAGTTGCCTTTTAATAAAGTCTTCTGTAGGCTGTCTTTAAAACACTGGTATCAGAATATTTCTATAAGTTTCTGTTTAAAACAGCTTAGTGGTTTTTTTTGTTTTAAACAGATTTGGTTTTCATTACAGCTTTAAGTAAAATTTAAAATAATTTTCAGGAAACTTAGCAAATTCAGTGGTTTATAAGTTCAAGGTTCAAAAAGTTGATTTTAACCATTTGCAGAGTTGAACTCAGAATAAAATTTTGTAGTATGAGGAAGAAATAAGAAAACTTGTATAATGTTAATCATAATATTGCTATAAATATAAGAAAGGGTTATGTAGACTTGAACGGACACTATTAGTTGTGAATCTTTTAGTTTTTTATTTAGGCACTTCATACAGCGGTTTCCCCTAAAGAGAAAGTAGGAAACTGTTGTAATAATGGATTGTTTTGATTTAGCTTGCTTTTAAAAAAGTACCCCTTTAACTTGTTTTACTTAATCTTGCCTAGCACAAAATAAGATAGGCTATACTCATGATGTGGGGAGTAGCTATATTAGCTGAGCAGGGAGGCATGCTATTTCCAAACTGGGCAAGTCTACAATAGCTTTGAAAATGAGCCAATCAGATTATTTTACTTAATGGTTCTTATCAGCATGCAAATATTACTTGAAAGTTATTTCCTTATCATTTACTGTCTTATTCATTTTGTAAGGAAATGTTAATTCCTAAAACTTGCTCAAAATACTTAAAAGTGAACATTTGGTGCTGATATTTAAAAACCTATAAATATAGCCATTTAAAAAGTAACATGTTTTTCTTCCCTATTTGTTGCTTGGGAGATTGGAATTTTATATAATACCTTTCTTTGCAAAAACAACAAATAGTATTGTGAGTTGCTAGTGATGTTGGCTCTCCATCATTCACTGCTATCTACTATAGACTTAGAAATAATTGGTCAAGTCATGATTTTTCTTGTCAAGTTGCAAGAGATCTCTCTTTTTAAAAAATATCCTAAAGAAATAGGATTGAGTAGAAAATAATTAGGTCAGCTTTTGGTGCTTATTTGTAATGTTTTTCCCACTACAGTGGAATTTAGCAGTTCTCTTTATCTGGATCCAGATACAACTATCAATAGTTTATCTTACACTGGGTAAAATTGGCTTCCTTTTGGATGGGAGGGCAGGGATTGCTAATAAAAAATATATATATTCTGTGACATTTTTAATACTTTAATTAGACAGCATTGGATTTTTTTTCTTGAATTGCAAATGATATTGTTAGGTTTTCTCCAGTTTTACTTTATGAGAAAATACCTCAAATAAGCCTATTTAATTCCCCATGGATTCTATGAAAGCTTAATGGGATCAGAAATTGGTGACTTATAAAGGAGAAGATACTCTGACATATTTTTATGATAGCTTGTTATTCGTCTTTTTCTTATCTAAAGAACATGACTAAGTTACATAGAGCAGTCTTCTATAGGTTGGCTAAAATGTTCATAGGTATGGTCTTCTAGCTACAGGAGGAAAGACTGTGTTCTAGCCATGTCAGAGCAGTTCTGTCCTCCACCGCAGTTAACTTGTAAGAGAAAATCCTCTGTCATCTATTTCTTATGAAGGGTGTGATATAAGTAAGCTCTTCACCTTGCAGCTTAACATTTATATACCAGGAAATGCCATGTAACTCCCTTCTTTTCTATAGGTGAAAGAAAATAAATAAATGTTGGTCTCTTTTTTCACAGAGAGAGACCTGTGATCTAAAGGATCATGTTGGTGAATCTTTGACATTATAGCTCCTTAGTACTGGTACTAAGCATAAGATAATTTCTGAGCTATAACATGTTGAGAAATTATTGATCAAAGAAGTAACATGAGAAAAAGCCCTGACCCAAAAGAATGTTTTTATTTGACTTAGAATGTTTTTGGCTTCTCTGCTAAAGTTGGCAGAAATTAGTATACCCTGAGTGATTTTTCTTTATTGAAGACCATTTTATGGGCTTACCCTGCAACTTTTATCCCAATTAAAGAATCTTGGAGGAAATACTTGTTTATGGCTTACGTATTTTCTACCAAAACTTTAATATTATTGATGACTTGAAAATATTAAAAAAAAATTTTAAT